TGTGGGAGGTCCTGAGGGAGGCGCGGACCCAGAGCTCAGAAACTACCCAGGCTGCCCCCTAAAGAGTTTCTGTCCAAACAGGAACCTGGGTTAAGAACAGGAAGTAGCCTGCCCTTATCAAGACCACTTCCAGATCACTGGAGGGCCACTGTGAAAACAAGCAGTGACTCTGGAGCCCGGAGGCCTGGAGTTCAAGGCCTGCCTTTGCCACCTGCCTGCTTATGTCCCCAGCCAGGTCACACACCTCTCTGGGTCTCAATTCTCTCATCTGTAAATGGGGTTAATAACTGTACCTACGGGCTTCTTACATGGCACAGTGGTAAAGAACCTGCCTGCCAATGCAAGAGATGAAGAGACATGGGTTTGATCCCTGGGTTGGGAAGATCCCCTGGAGGAGGAAATGGCAACCCACTCCAGTATTCTTGCCTGGGGAATTCCATGAAAAGAGGAACCTGGCCGGTTACAGTCCATGGGACTGCACGGAACATGACTGAGCAAATATACCCACACACAGCGGTACCTACCTGTAGGTTGTTGTGAAGATCAAATGGGTTCATACAGGTAAAGGACTCGAAACCTTGACCAGCACTCAGGACCCTTCTCCATCTCCACCAGCCTCTTGCTACCCACCCTCCCCGGCATGGACTATCCCTCTGCCCCTCCACCCCCCACCCCGCCCCCGCCATCACTGATCTGTTTCCCACATGGCAGCCGGAGCAATCTTTATAAAAGGGAACGCAGATGTTGCTTAAAGCCCTGCGATGACTCCCATCACACACAGAAAGAAATCCACACTCCTTGTCTCAGCCCGTCACCCCCTGCTGTATCCTATCTGCCAGACCTCCCCACGTCCTTGGCCTCGCTGCTGACTGCCACACTGGCCTCTCTGGTGGGACCCGAACATCCCATCTTTGGACCGCGGGCCCTTTGCACTGTCCGTACCCCTACCTGCTCTGTTCTTCCCAGCTCTTCCTGGGCCTGGCTCCCTCTCGTCAGTCAGACGTCTCCCTTCTCCAGAAAGCCCTCGCTGGCCCCCAGGTGGAGTAAGGAGCCGCCTCCGGGTTCCTTCAGCCCCTACCTCGTCCCAGCCCTGACCATTCTGCTTGAGCATCCCTACCCAGCCTGACCTCTCTGGGACGTTACCGTCTGGGGCCAGGTCTGTCCCCTTCACGGTCCTGTGACCGCTGAGGGCAGGGCTTCGACACAGCGACCGATGAGCAGTGTAACACACACACACACAGTGTAACCAGGTTTTGTTCATCTCCTTCCAAGTGGCACTTCCTTTCTCTTTGCCTCCTTCCTGAGGAGGTTTAAGTCAGTATGTTTCCCTTTCCAAAGGCCAGCCCTGGGAGATGATCCCCTAGGAGAGGTGGGTTAAAGTTATAGCCACTGCCCTGGATGCCCTGGAGGGCACAGGTCAAAGCATTCCCTGGCCTGCCTGCTCCTCTGGGTGTGGGGGTTCAACAGGTGTCAGACCCCAGCTAAGCTCATCACATGAACTGCACCCCTGTTTGCAACCAGACCAAGGAAGGGGTGCAGGTGGCGTAAAACCCACCACCTCACGGCTGAGTAAACTGTTTCAGCAAGGACTGCAAGCTTGCCCGAAGCAGCACGGAGCCGAGGGAACCATCAGGCACTGCTGGGAAGCACGCTGGTACAAATGCTGAACAGAGTAATTTGGAAGGTCCAGCATTTCCACTGTGAGGCATATGCCCAAGAGAGATTCTGGCTGCAGTACACAAGGAAACACGCTCTAGAATGTTCATGGCAGCACTGTTTGTTACAGTCCCAACGGGAACCACCTGAACAGCCACCAAAACGTGAATGGGTAACTCTGGTGCGGCACCATCACAAAAAGAAACACACAAGGGGAAATGAACAACCTGCTCTAGATCTACACTCGTCCACACGGAGAAACAGCCACACTGACGCAGAGAAGCAGCAGCAGGCTGTTTTCCGTGGTGCCATTTATAACAACCTGTGAAACAGTGGACAACCCTGGCCGGCCATTACAACCATGTGCTGAGGCTAGCCCCACCCCAGACCAAGGGCACCCAGGCCAGAGTCTGGGAGGGGGCAGGGGGCTGGGGCAGCAGCATTCTGGAAAGCTCTCCAAGTGACTGCAGCATGGAGCCAGGGTTGAGAGCTATTACTCTGTCATTTACGAATCCCTCCGAGGGTAGTTAACAGTAGGAAAACCTGCGATAGAAGGCGGGACGCCAAATCCAGCCCCGTGGCTACCATCGGGAAGGCGGGGCAGAGAACAGGGGCCTGTAACTGTATCCAGGGTCCCAGGCTGGACACTGGAAGCGTGGGTGTTTTGCTATATTGAAGCTCTACTTTTTCCACTAGTCTAAAATGTATCATAAAAACAAAACTGGCAAACAAGACATCACTTGCCCAAGGTCCCATGGCTGGTAAGTGATGGGGAGGGAGCCCGAATGTGGGTGTCCAGCGCCAAAGTCCCCCCTTTATCTGTGCGGAGCCCTGAGATGACATGCGAACTGCCACTGCAAGGACTGGTAGGGCTCCCTGGCCATGTGCCCACCTGGTGACCCTGCCAGAGCAACCCAGGAGACAGGTGGAGAGGGCCTGACCACCACCTCTGAGGCCCTCCCCAGGCAGCAGCAGCAGCAATAGCCTGAAGACTAGTGCTGACACACCATGTGCCAGGCCTTGGGCCAGGCTCTTTACGTGCCACAGCCTCACAGCAGGTCTGAGGAAGCCACTATCATTATGCCCATTTTGCGCAGGGGGAAATTGAGGCCCAGAAAAGTTAAGCGACTTGCCCATGATCACAGCCTGTGAGTGATGCAGCTGGGTGTGAGCCAGGCATCCTTGTCCCAGCATCCCCTCTCTGAACCGCTCCCCAGCACTGCCTGGGAGCTCCACACACACGGGGCGGCCACTCACCCATCTCTGCTTCACTGCCCGCCCCACTCCGAGCCGGGAACCCTTCGGGTCTCACTCAGGCGCCATGCTGCCCACAAGCCCCCAATTCTGCACCCCTGACCTCCACTCACGCCTTTCCTTCTGCTTGGCACACCCTTTCCTATTCCTCCTACCCATCCTTCAGAGCTTGCCCAGGGGACTTTCCGAGTCTCCGGCCCAGGCTGGGGCCCAGGGCTGGGGCATTTTCCTCATCCCCAAGCATGTTTTCGCAGGCCACATTACCCTGGGCGAGATGAAGCCATGTCTCACTGGCTAGGGGTCTGGTCCCAGTCCACTTCCACCAAGGGACACTGAGGGCCCCTGGGGTTCAGGGGATCTCCGCTGTCCTGTCCACTGCTGCAGACCCAGCACCATGCCTAACATTCAATCGCAACCAACCCTGGGGGAATTCAGGGAAAGAACATGGGAAAATTCCTGCCTGTGAGGCGCCCACCTTCTAGCAGGAGGCAGATCAACTACGCTCTGATAAATAACTTAAGTTAAGGACAGAGTGAAGGGCTGGCAGAGAACAACAGTGAGATAAAGAGTGTCTGGGGGCAGGGTGGTCCCGGTAAAGCTGTGAGCGTCTGGTGAGGGAGAGGGTACAGAGCAGAGAAGGGATTCCAGGCAGAGGGAGCAGGAAGCTCAAAGACCTGGAGACAGGCATTAGCCTACAGAGCTGAAGAACAGCAAACAGGCCCGCGTGGTCGGACCTCCCGGAGCGCTGGGGAGAGCAGCAGAAGAAGAGGTGGGAGCGACTGAGGACCATGATGAGAGGTTGCGGTTTTAAGTACAGAGAACACCCAACTTTGTACAGAGTACCACCCAAGGACACCCTCCCTAGCCAGGAGCCTGCCAGACACACTCGGGCTCTAGGCCACCCATAAACACCGCTTCCCATAGGCCCAGGGGAACCTCTCCTCCCAGATCACACCCTTCCACGGAGGCCAAAGAGACAATCTATTCCTGCCCAAGGAGTGGCCCAGCCTTGCCCAGCTCCCTGCTTCCAGGAACAGACCTCCGGCAGTTTACAGTGTGGCGACCGGAGGCCGGAGCTCTGGAATTATTCAGATCGAGCAGGGAATCTTCCTCCATTACTTAGCAGAAGCTCTCTGTGCCTCATTCTCTTGGCTGTAAAGTGGGTCTATCTAGATTGTGCTATAGTAAGACTAGGCCCACAGAGTGCTGAGTACAGCCTCAGCACTCATTAAGTATTAACCAACATAATGAGTATTTGAGAGTCAGTAGAGCATAGAACTCTGAGCCCAGGACTCCAGAGTTCAAATCTCAGCTGCAAAACTAACTCATTAGGCAGCCCTGGGCAAAACATTAAGCCTCTTAATAACGGCACCAAGCCCAAAAGGTTGTGGTCAGGATTAAATACATGGAAAGCGTTCAGAACAGGGCCTGACACACAGTAAGTGCTTTATGAGTGTTTGCTATTCTTTTCATTATCTGGGGGGGTGGGGGGGGGGGGTGGCGGGGAGAGTTCCTTCTCCCCCATCAGAAAGCACCTTGACCTCTTTCTTGAGTGTCCTATCCCGCCCCTCCAGAAATATGTCCCATTTGGGTTTTAACTTTTGACCATTGGACCATCATCTGTGATCTTTCTCCAATTTGGTCACGTTTCACCGCTGATCCCATAAAGATGCCCCCCAAGCCAAATCTCATTCATTTGCTCCACTGGCTGCTGCCTTAAATCTCCAATCCGCAGCCCCCATGGCTGTGACCTCTGACCCTCGTGGGCACATCCTCCTATCAAATTATTAATTTTGACCCCCTCCTTTTTGACATTCACCCCGTGCCCCTCCAACGAGCTCCCGCTTCAAACTTTTAATTTTGTGCCCCCCTCGCCACGCCCCCTTCGTTAGTTTGACCTCTGACCTCCTCTATAACTCCCTCCCGCTCAGCGTTGACCCGCGACCCCCTGGACGCGACCCTTCCCTCCACGAGTGAACTTTGACCCCAGCGGCCCCGCCCCCTATTCGCGTAAACGCTCTCCCACCGCACTGCCCAGCGCACACCAAGCCCCTGGCCAGACAGCTTATCCTACCGGCTCGGCACCGCAGTCGCTCGCGGCCTGGCCGCTCGGCCCGGAACTCGGCGCCCTCCCGCTGCCCTCAGCTCTCTGGCGCCGCCGCCGCCACGGCCACTGCCGCCGCCATGTTGAATCCCCAACGAACATCCGGGGCTTTCCCCCCTCGCCGCCCACCAGTCCCCATAGCAACGGGGCTGACCCGGCAGGGGGCAGGGCCGGCTCAGGGGCGGAGCTGTACGCCTGGCAGCGCCCGCTCCGGCCTCTGATTGGTGCATGTTGTCCAATCGGAGACCTTCGGGCGGAAAATGCCAAGCCGGGATTGGAAAATTTGGAAAGGGTGCGGGTAGGCTGGCTCCAAGCCCACTTGGATTCTTAAAGGGGAAAATGACTATTCTCTTGTAACTGCATCCCACCTCCCACCCAAAGGAATTAGGGAGTGGAAGCCAGTAGTGGGTAATGATGGCCAGAAACGGCTCTGAAGCATGTACTATGTGTCAGACACCCGCCAAGTGAAATTTCTTGCTGAATGCTCAGTACAACCGTATTGTATATTAACGCCCATTTTACAGATAAATTGAGGTTTAGAGGGGGCAAACTAGCTGCTTGGGGATCACAGAAAGTAAATAATGAGTTTTGAACGACGTCTGTCAGTCTGAGCCCGAGAACTTCACCCTGAACCAAGACGCTGTTCGATCTAAATCTTTTTGGTAAGTTTTTTTGTTTGTTTTTAGCAGGCATTTGTTAAAAAACAAAACAAAACCCGTAAACTAAACTCGGACATCTTTTTCTGTGATTTCACTCATTGGGTTCTAGCCAATGAGTTTGTGTGTGTATTAGTCTCTCAGTTGTGTCCGACTCTGCGGCTCCATAGAATGTAGCCTGCCAGGCTTCTCTGTCCATGGAATTCTCCAACAAGAATAATGGAGTGGGTTGCCAGTACCTTCTCCAGGAGATCTTCCCAACCCAGCGATCGAACCCGGGCCTCGAGCACTGCAGGCAGTTTCTTTGTCGTCTGAGCCACCAGGGAAGCCCAGTCAGTGGGTTTGCCCTTCCCCCTCCCCCCAAAAATCTCAGGTGCTCTCCCACTTCAAGGCCATTACATTGATTATTCCTTTTTTCTGGAATAGACTTCCCCCAGGTACCCTCATTTCAAAATGGGGAAAATCAGTATGATAGTGCATACAAGGTGCTTGCTGGTACCTGGAATTTAGTAAGCACTCAATGCATATGGGGCTTCCCAGGTGGCACCAATGGTAAAGAACCTTCCTGCCAGCGCAGAAGACATGAGAGACATGGTTTCAATCCCTGGGTTGGGAAGATCCCATATTCATTTGGGATTGCCTGGTGTCTGAGACAGTAAAGAATCTGCCTGCAATGAAGGAGACCTGGGTTCGATCCCTGGGTCAGGAAGATGCCCTGGAGGAGGAAATGGCAACCCACTCCAATATTCTTTCCTGGAGAATTCCATGGACTGAGAAGCCTGGAAGGCTACAGTTCATGGGGTTGCAAATAGTTGGACAGGACTGAGCAACTAACACATTAACACTTAACAGAGGTACCCTCATGGCTTCTTCCTCCCTTCTCTCCTTCAAGGTTTACTCAAATGTCACCTTATCAGGGGAACTGTCCCAGCCCACCCTGACTAGCGCAACAAACACTCCTCTCTCATGCTGCTAAACTCCTTAACCTTGTCTGCTTTTATTTTCTGTTGCTCAGATCACCTTCTAACATACTATCTAATACACAGAATTAGCTAATCGTAGTTATCATTTTTTGGTCATCTGCCTTGCTGGCATGTCTCTCCACGAGAGCATGGAGTTTTGTTTTGTTCACTGTGCATGCCCATTTGTTGAATGGATGGTTGGATGAGTTGTAAATCCACCTCTGCAGAAGTACTCTTAAATGTTTAGTACATATCCCTTGCCCCAGCACAGTGTGTTACAGAGTAGGCATTTAATTAATATTTGCAAAAGCAGTGAATGAATGATGCATAATTTCTTTTTTTTCTCTGTACTTTCAGTGTGTGTGCTCAGTCGCCTCCAACTCTGCAACCCTACGGACTGTAGCCTGCCAGGCTCCTTTGTCCATGGGATTCTCTAGGCAAGAATACTGGAGTGAGTGGGTTGCCATTTCCTTCTCCAGGGGATCTTCCAGACTCAGAGATCAAACCCTTGTCTCCTGCATCTCCCACATTGGAAGGTGGATTCTTTACCACTGAACCACCTGGGAAGCCCTATACATTCACCTACCTTTTAAAACAGAATCAGTTAAAAAAAAAAAAAGATAAATTAAAAAATAAAACAGAATCAGAAACACATTTATAAATAATTTTGTATCTTTTTAAAACAAGATTATAAATACCACTAGTATCTTTCCATGCTATTAAATATTCTTCAAGAACATTTTAATGTTCTTTGTTTTAATGGCTGCATAAGATGCCATTCTGTCAATGAACTCTAATTCATTTGAACCATTCATTGAACCTCTAAACTGTGATAAATATTTTGCTATTATAAATGCCCCCCCCACCCCAAATCCAAGCAGCTAAACATTTGTGCACATCTCTAATTATTTCCTTTGAATAGATCAGCACAAATGCATCTGCTGGGTCAAAGGAAATGTACATCTTTAAGATATAATAATAGCAGCAGTTCCCATGCCTCAAACATTTCTATGCACCACACATGGTGCTAAGCTGTGTAATTTAAACAGCAGGGACTGTGATTATATCTGCTTTGCAGAGGAGGAAACTGAGGCTTAGAGAAGTAACTTCATTTGCTCAAAATCACACACCGGGCTCATCTCCAGCTTTAACTCCCAGGCAAGGCTCTCACTAACTGCCCTCTGCTGCCTCTGTATGGCCTGGGACACACATTGCAAGTTGTGCTGTAGTTCGGTTCAGTTCAGTCGCTCAGCGTGTCCAATTTTCTGTGACCCCATGGACTATAGCATGCCAGGCTTTCCTGTCCTTCACCATCTCCCAGAGTTTACTCAGCTTCATGTCCATTGAGTTGGTAATGCCATCCAACCATCTCATCCTCTGTCATTTCCTTCTCCTCCTGCCTTCAATCTTTCCCAGCATCAGGGTCTTTTTCAGTGAGCTGTCTCTTCACATCAGGTGGCCAAAGTATTGGAGCTTCAGCTTCAACATCAGTCCTTCCAATGAATATTCAGGATTGATTTCCTATAGGATTGACTGGTTTGATCTCCTTGCTATCCAAGGGATTCTCAAGAGTCATCTCCAGCACACAATTGGAAAGCATCAATTCTTTGTCCTCTTGATGAAAGTGAAAGAGGAGAGTGAAAAAGTTCGCTTAAAACTCAATATTCAAAAAACTAAGATCATGGCATCTGGTCCCATCACTTCATGGCAAATAGATAAGGAAACAATGGAAACAGTGAGATACTATTTTGGAGGGCCCCAAAATCACTGCAGATGGTGATTGCAGCCATGAAATTAAAAAACACTTGCTCCTTGGGAGAAAAGATATGACCAACCCAGACAGCATGTTCAAAAGCAGAGACATTACTTTGCCAAAAAAAAAAGTCTGTGTAATCAAAGCTATGGTTTTTCCAGTAGACATGTATGGATGTGAGTTGGACTATAAAGAAAGCTGAGGCCCGAAGAACTGATGCTTCTGAACTGTGGTGTTGGAGAAGACTCTTGAGAGTCCCTTGGACTGCAAGGAGATCCAACCAGTTAATCCTAAAGGAAATCAGTCCTGAATATTCATTGGAAGGACTGATGCTAAAGCTGAAACTCCAATACTTTGGCCAACTGACTCATTGAAAAAGACCCTGATGCTGGGAAAGATTGAAGGCAGGAGGAGAAGGAAATGACAGAGGGTGAGATGGTTTGATGGCATCACTGACTCAATGGACCTGAGTTTGAGCAACTTCCGGGAGTTGGTGATGGACAGGGAGGCCTGGCGTGCTGCAGTCCTTGGGGTTGCAAAGAGGCAGACATGACTGAGTGACTGAACTGAATTCTTTGGCTCTCAGCCTTCTTTATGGTTCAACTCTCACATCTGTACATAACTACTGGAAAAATTATAGCTTTGACTATGTGAATCTTTGTTGGCAAAGTGATGTTTCTACTTTTTAATACACTGTCTAGCTTTGTCATAGCTTTTCTTCCAAGGAGCAAGCGTCTTTTAATTTATGGCTGCTGTCACCATCCACAGTGATTTTGGAGCACAAGAAAATAAAGTCTGTCAATGTTTCCATTGTTTTCTCATCTATTTTTCGTGAAATGATGGGACTGGACGCCATGATCTTAGTTTTTTTGAATGTTGAGTTTTCCATCCAATTAACACTTCCACCAGCACTCAGAGGGAATACCCTCTTTAAATATCCTCACCAGTATTAAACATTCCTGTTCTTCTGCTCTTTTGAAATCTTTATGCCTTCCTGGGTTTCCAAGTATTGGAAATTCCCTGGCGGTTCAATGGTTAGGACTCTGTGCTTCTAGTGCACGGGGCCCAAGTTCGATCTAATCCCTGGTTGAAGAACTAAGATCCTACAAGCAAAAAAAATCACCAAGTCTAGTAGCTGAGATGATGGCACTTTATTTAGGTCACAGTGATGGGAAGACGGCCAGGTGCAACTTTTGCCTTTTTAAAAAAAAATTATTTTATAATGGACTATAATTGGTTTGGGCTTCCCTGGTGGCTCAGATGGTAAAGAATCCACCTGCCATGGGGGAGACCTGAGTTCGATCCCTGGGTTGGGAAGATGCCCTGGAGGAGGGCATTTCAGCCCACTCTAGTATTCTTGCCTGGAGAACCCCCATGGACAGAGGAGTCTGTCGGGCGAGAGGTCCATGGGGTTGCAGAGAGTCGGACACAGCTGGGCTACTAAGCGCAGAAGAGCTCAGCATAGTTGGTTTACAACGTTGTGTTAGTTTCAGGTATACGGCAAACTGATTCAGTTATGCATATATCCAGCCTTTGCCTCTATGTTGTCCTGCCCACACTGAAGACTGTCAGGTTCTAGAACCCATATGTGGGGAATCCCTGTTACAACTTAGTTGGGGATCCTATTAGCAATCAGAGCCCTGGAACAAGCCCAGTGGCGGATCTACTGCAAGGGTTTCCCCAGGATGGGCAATCAGGTTCCCCTACTTCAGTGTCATCAGAGGGGAAATCAGACCCCAGAGAGCTTCCAGTAGAGGACTTCCTGGAGGGGTTAGTGAGGAGGTGACCCTCCAATAGATCAAAACAGATGAGAAGAGTGAAGCGGATTTGGCCTCATAAAAGTGATAAATTGCAGTACATCAAAGAAAAAAAGATCAGTGACAATGTATAGATGGCAAACAAAGCTTACTGCCCTTTATATGTAAAGAGCATTTACAAATCAATAAGAAAGGTGAATATA